TACAACTGCAATTTTGCAGCAACATTGTAACATTTCAGCAATATTACAAAAATATCGTAATGTTGCTGCAATATTGTGATTATAATCTGTGTTTGCTGGGAAAGCTCCTTTTTTTGCTGGACGCAACCAATGTGAATGCGCCCTAAGACGGGTTAGACGTTTCGATTAGAAGGTTGGAAGCCCTGCGAATGACGTTTACGGTTTGCCAATTTGAAACGAATCTGACAACTATTCAAAAGTTCAAGAATTCCAGTCCGGTCGGATGTCAGAGAGAGAGAATCCCGATTTATAATCCGCGAGTGTACTTTCGTGGGAATAAAACCCACGCAGACCGAAACAGTCGATAGGATCGATCAGGAGATCAAGTCTCGCAACGGAAATTGTCGCGACGAGGAGAGCTTCGTGGTTGGAATTTCGAATTGAATGAGATTAACGCAGAGTGGATCCGTTTCGCCTTCTTGTCGCGGATAGTTTGTTTCTCATGATGGAGCAAACGAAACGGCGGACGCCGAGCGAGGAGAGGACGTGCGCGAGCCCGTTGGCGCGCGGCACCCCGGTGAAGCGGAACGACGCTCAGCTGAAGCGGCTGTTCGCCGTTCTGCCGAGTCACATCACGCCGCCGTCCAAGCTGCGGAGGTTCGTTACCAAGAACCCGTTCGAGCCCGAGCTGATTAACAGGCTGCACCTGCCCGCGATCAGCCCGACCATATTCACCAAGGTCACTTTTGCCCCTCCCCCCCCCGCCCCCTCCCGAAGCTCCCGTATAAAAAGTACTTCAAATCGAAGTGCTCTACACCGCCGAGCGGCGGGGAGCTAATCGCTAAAAGATTGCTGCAATATTCAGGTCCCCAGTCCTATGCAGCAGTCACCGGGCTTCGCGTGGAGCATAGACGAGCTGGCTCGCATGAAGCCGGTGAAGATCGAGGAGTCGCCCATGCAGCAAGTGTGCTCTCCAGATCCGGAGCTGGAGATGAGGGCCCAGGCGGCTATAGATCGATTCTTCAAGGAGAATCAGATAATCCCCAGCCCGTGGGACACCAGGCAGAAGGCGAGCAAGCCGTGTTTACCCCTGGACACGCCCAACCGGCTGAACGATTTCAATTCTACCCAGGAGCTTTCGAGGTCGACGAAGGATGGTAAGTCGAGCGAGTTCGATGTTTCTCGAAAAACAATTCACCCCATCGCTTTTTGTATTTCCAGCGTGGAGTCAGACAGTATTATCTCTACCTCAGAATCTGCCTGAGAATGTGGAAGAAGTTTTGAAGCCTTTCTTTACTTTCACTCAGGTTGGTCTGTAAAGTAGCTGTCAAGATAAAAGCAGCTTGATGTGTCTGTGCTCCAGAATCCACTGATAAAAATATTCTTGATGTCTTCCAAAGGAACAGAATGCAGACAACGACGATATAAATTCGAGCAACAATTCACTGAGGAGAAAATTATTTTTTTGTCAGGACGAGGGCGCTGACACTGATAAAGAGAGTTTCACGTCGTTATCACCGATGAAAATGAACGAATCCATGGAGTTACCTTACAGCCCTCCTCAAAGTGGTATGTTTGTTCACGGAGTGCCATTAAAGGTATGTGAATTGAGATATACATTTAGACAATTTCTTTCCATATATCAGTGAGAATAGTTCTCATAATATTTTTATATTTTATTTTATATATGTAAGAATTTGTTGAGAATAATTCTCATAATATTTTATATTTTAATTTACATTTGTAAGAATTTGTTGTATTTTAAATTTGTAAAGCTCTCTGAAAAAAAATTTCACATTTTATTAAATTTCTTTTCGGAAATTACAAAATAAAAAATTTTAGAATTTTTTTCAGACTTTACATATGTGAAGAATTCTAGAAAAGATGTAGACCTTTTGAAAAAGTATTTCAATTTGTATGAAAAATCTGAGATATTTAAAACAATTTTTCGAAAAATTTTAAAATTTATATATAAATTCTGAAAAATTAATGAAGAATTCTAAATTTTGCCAAGGATGAATAACAATTTTTTATATCTTAGTAAATAAGATTAACGATAGCCTGTGTATACCGCTGAAATTAACGTGATAATATATTTTCAGATGTTGGTACAAACTAAGCGACGAAGCAACGGATCGTCCATAGTAATATCTGAAAACTTATCGCCGCCTAACATGTCGCCAATACATAACGCCGAGGACGATTGTATGAAAAAATTGAATAAGTTGTACGAAAGAATCGAACACTGTTCTCGTCCGTCCACTGGGTTAAGCTCCATGGATCTAAGCATGGACGATACAGCCGAGAGAAAAAGTCTTGAGAGAAAAGAGTTCTGTCGTCCATTAGTACTTATAGGTAAATTTGCCTTTTGTTTTAGTCTAACTTATCATTACTTTCTTTTACCTTTTATCTTTCTTATTTTTACTTATATAATTTCTTTGGAAAATAAATTATTTTTATTATTCCAATGAAGTGGGAAGGACAGATCTCTCATTATCGTCCCACTGTAAGAAAAGTTTCAATGCTCGCAGTCGCATGAAACAAATTGTATCATAGTTAGAATTCTAAAGAATTTAGTTAAATGAGTGAAGAATACAGAAAATTTGGATTTAATCACATAAGTTGTGCCCCCGATAGGAAAACATTTATGAAAATTATGAAATTATATGATAAAATCTCACACAAAATTTGTAATTTCCAATTATTTGGATATTTACAAAAAATAGATGTAGAAATATTGTTTTTTTATTAAATATATAATTGCGCGCGTAATTAATTTCAAAATATTTTTTAGTGCTAAAGGAATAATGAAATGGCCAATTAGTTGAGCGATATATTTGCAAAGTTAAATTTAGAAAGAAATTGCGTGTCAATAATCGAGAAAAATATTTCAGCTGTATTATGTTTAAAGCATTTATAAATATAGTTGTGCATGTAAAAAAATCACAAATTAATCCATGTATATGCTTATAAAAATGTACAATTATTTCTAAATTATGACTTGGAAACACTGCAACATGGCAATATTGCACATTCAACATAGCAAAATTTTAAGTAAAGAATCGAAGGTTTTTTTGGGAATAACTATAAAATCTTTATATTTTAATTTGGATTTGTCTAACTCTTGGCAAATATTATTTAGAAATTCTGACTGCTACGTATGGCGAATTGACGTAATTATTGCGAAATTTTCGTCAATTTATTGCCATTATTGTGTAATCTTTCCATAATGTGCCTATCGGGGATGACTGTCTTTAGACATTTAGACTGTTTTTAGAAAATAAATTTTAATATTCCTTGCATTATCTTTCCCGTTGAAGTATTGCAGTATTAATGCTCTATCACAGGCAAACAACGATACATTCATAACAATACTATGTTGGTAATGTGTTTTAGATAACAATGTGCTTCCGTTCGTTAACGAAAATCACGTCAAACGTACTGAAGACAATGGTAAATTGACAATTAGAAGTAACGATAAAACGAATGCATGTGATTCTATTAACATGGAGGAATTGCCGAAGTCTATAAATTCAACCGACAGTACCGTGCACTCTGACGCCGTTGTATTTAGCAATAAAGAATACGACGAGATTAGTTTGAAAATTGCACCGGAAACGGCAAGTTTCTCGCGGGAAAGTCATAAACGAAGTAACATAATGTCTGGCGCGTTCGAGCGGCAAAGTATCTCAAACTCGGTTCAAGACACCGGTTATCAAACTTATAGTATGAACAGCATAACGCAGGCAACAGACAGTAACGATACTTCGACGAGTCACAGAACTCTTTGGAATGAGAACATGGCGGTGTCCAGGGATAACACTCAATTATCTTGGCGAGAAAACATGAGAAACGTATTTAGTTCCACACCTTCCAAGTATAATAAAGAAAAAGGAACTTTATAGTCATAGAAGTATCATATTTGTGTGCCTGGTTTCCACTAATATAGATAAACCCTAGGTATACACACTGTTTTTTTGACGACGTCGTATACACACTGGGGTTTCGGGGACTCCCATCCATATTTATTACTGTAACTCCAGTGAAAATGGATATATTTCAATTAATTTTTTTTCAATCGATAGAGAATCGACCAAGGAACAAGCCGACAGAATTAAGGAGCTCTAAGATATACTGGTTCAAAGAAAAAGGAAAGTTCAAAAACGCGAAAAAATCTCGATTTAGGCTGCGTTCGGGGAGCGCGTTATTAGCGCTATTCTGTCACTCTATCTTTATCGTTCATTGAACATAAAACAAGAATAGAATGACACGATTGCGCGTTCCCTGAACGCACCTTTAGCATCTTTTTTAAAAAAATCATATCTCTTTTGTTTATAGATTTGAGAAATTCTTGAAAATTTTAAAAGGGCATACTTGAAATATGTAGTAACAAAAAAATTTGGCGATCCGATATTTTAATTTTTTAACAAAACTGCAAGCAGTCCCGGAGATCCCACGCTCACTTCAACTGTTCACTGCTCGGTTGTTGAGTGATAATTGCCGCGCGTCAACACGTCTTCCTACTGAGGAGATCTCAAACTTTTTTACGTCAATATCCCAAACCCCTCACCTTCCAATTTCAGAAATGCCAAACCGAGAAAGTTTCGATGGGGTCCCGGGGATTCCAGTGTGTATCTAGGATTAACTTTAATATCGATTTACACACACATACACCTCACTCTTCTTTTTCTGATCTTAAGAATTAGAAAAAGATGAAGAGTAAGTTGGACCGAGGTTAAAATTAATCTGCATTGCTGGAAACAGGCATTAGAGAAGAAATGCTCAAATAGTTAAGGTCACAATTTAGCTTAGATGATTAGCATGGAAAATACAATGAAATGCGCATGATTTGCTTATGTTATAAATTTACATTTGTTTTCTGCAACAGTCAATTGAATTACAGATAGTTCTTTGACGACTAGATCTCAATTTGTTTATATAGTTATTTTCTTCGTATATTAATTTGATACTTTTAAATAATTTAATCAAATTGCATTTGATCTGAGCCCATACGATTGATTATCACGGGTGTTATTCTAAATTTGAATTTGTGTTATGGATCTCAATATATTTATTATATAAATATCTTTTCGCTGATATTGTATGTTGTTACTTAATGTTTATTTTATTCTACCGAATATTTAAGCGTGACGTTCCGTAAAGCTTTTGCTAAGGGAAAAGCTCCGCTTTATTTTTTAACAATTTTTCAACTATACGATCAACACATCATTGTATTGATGTATACTGCCATTAATTAATTAAATTTGTACCATGTTATATATACATATATATTGAAGTATGCCGTAATTGCTATGTGGAATAAGAAATACTGGATGAAATAATCACAAGTTTTGCAGTTTTCTTCATTTGTTTCATTAGATAAAATTTTCTTGTGGTTACAGCCTAAAATATTAAATATACTCAAGATATATATAAGCAAGATCAAAAACTTAACAAACATTTTACAGCATGATTCATCTAAAATGAGTAATAATAATAATAATATAATAATGATATATATAATTATAATATTACAATATTACGCCAACAAAATTCTTATAATATACAATCTGTAGATATATATATTATGTGTACATATAAATTATAACATATCTCTGATCTTCCAAACCCAAAGGATTTTGCATTTGGCACGATGTCATGTAATGGAAGCAAACCAAACACATCATGTCTTTTGATTGTCCCTGGCTAGTTACAATGACACATCATAATCTGCTTTGCTCCATACTTTGTTGTGTGGTTTATTTTTTTTTTTTTGGTGTCTGTCATAGGATGACTTCGCCTGTCAGCCGGTTGTAATTAATAGCACACATACACACACGCACACATCCCCGCGTGAAACGATACATAGCGTACGAATAATTGTCAATTTTGCGAGTTCGCATCGTGTGGTGGAATCGGCGCTACGCGTTGGAGAAGAAAAGAAGAAGAACATGCTGATGTTAATACTTATTCTTTCTACACGTAATGCAATTACAGAGTAACAGTCTATCCCGCCGTCTATCTATGCCGCGACTAAAACGCCGATTAAAACGCATTGCACATGAGCCCATTTTACCATTCCGCGCGCGAAAACCGGCTGACTAGAGTATTTCGCCCAATGTCAGGATTTACTGGTGTATTGCTTTACATTATGTGACTAATCGATTTTTAATCTACGCTTTAAACCTATCGATTAGCTACACTGTGTGTTTATGATCGATGAATGGCATCCCGCATTCTATAATCGAGTTTTAGTTTAGAATTTACCTATACGTGGAAGAACAGACGTTCAGTCGTAGCAAACGAGAGCTAGACTAAGAGTGTTTTTTTTTTTTTAACAAATTTGTGAAGCTATAACACTGAAATTTCCGTTTACGATAGTTTTATCGATTTGAAGATGCCAGCTCGTTTTTCAAGATTGATATCAAGTTGTAGAGTATTCAAGGTGTGAGTAAGAATGCCAGTTAATTAATAATATTTATATATATATATATATGTATATATATAACTCTTTCGCTAAACAACATAATATATAGAATTCTAAAACTTCGGATACACTGAAGTATAACAACGATAATATCGTATTCATTCTTGCAATATATCACAGAGGTAATAACAGTAAAATAAAACTTTTAAAAACAAACAAAAAGGATAGATTGCGGCTAAATTTTATATAAATTATGTTGAGCAGGGTGTGTTTAATACAGCGTAATTATACGTAAAATGATTTTAAGTTAGAAGATAAATCTTGGAAATTAATTTTCTCCTTTTCAGACATTTCTTTCAGTTTTTTATTTAAATAATAGAGTTCTTTTTTTCCTTTAAGTAGAATATTTATCATATTGAGCATGGCATTCTTTCTTGCACCTTCAGATTGAATTTTCTCTTCTGGTAGTGTAGCTGACTAGCTACAATCACATTAAATATATATATTTGATGTAGCGCATCCTGTTTTATTAGACAGAAATCGTGTATTATTTCCCCCGATATTCTCTTCCGAAGACATCTCCTATTTCGAATAATTTAAAGATTTCCAATTTTCCAGCAGTTGTCGCGACCGATCTAACTGCTTTAACGGAAATTGAAATTTTAATGGAACTCGAAATTATCATTAAGACACGCTGATTTGAGTCCTACATATTACGCACGTAATTATGCTATGAAACTAGCACTCTACTTAGTACTGACGATGGGCTCTTTGAGCGATAATATCAAATCGTCGCAAGTTAATCCCGGATGAATTCTTGGAAAAATGGCAAATAGAGGTATGCACTTACAAAATTTGTCGGAGCACGTTTCACGCGTCGTTGATATGTAGAAATCGATCAGGTTGCGCTACAACAGTTACATCCCCTCGTCCCCCTCCTCTCCTCTCGTTTTCAAGTCACTAATATTTTATACTTTGTAGAGTGATATTTAAGCTAATAAACTGCGTACCAGCGAATCATTAGGAAGAACCTTTATCACGCGGGCAGCGCCCTGTAAAAATATATATGTTCTCTCTATATTGAACTACATATTAATGTATACAAGACCAGTTTGCCTAACATTCTCCCACGCATGTCTTCGTTCACGTACATATCTTACAATTACAAGGTATTATCAACCCCACCCCCCCCCTCTCTCTCCTCTTAGTGTTACGGTTTTCTTTTTTTTATATATAAAAATAGGTTGTCTCTCCATGTAGCGCTAATTTTCGTCTCCATCCGATCGACATTAACACCTCAGCACGATCGTCATTATATATCCAGTCTCGAACTGAATATCAAAAAACTGGTCTGTGGATACATTAGAAAGGTCTACATATGTACAACACTGTTCAAAATCATTTTGAAAGCCACAAAGAGAGTAGAAAAAACAGTGAAATGATAACATTTCTTCGTTTCACAATGTTGAATGTACCTCGATCTTTTTTATTGTTTTTTGTTTGAATTTTTTTTTTTTTTTTTTTGATAATACGTCTGTGGCACATATGTTGTACATGTGCAACACGATGCACATGGTTTGTTTACCTACAGGGTGCCCTCAATTTCACGCGCAAAAGCGAAAGTCCGTGAAAAACTAAACCGCGAGGAGGTTTCTCTCGATTGCGACCAATAATTTTTTTCTTCTTAATCACAAGTGTAACAATAAAAATTATTACACACCCCAACATCCGTGTTAGCTCGTCACTTCACTATTGTTGATTTAATCACAAGAATTTAAAAGCTGATAAAATTTACGATGTACAATCGGTTATAAATAGCTGTATATTCGTAGCTAGTATTCTTGTCCCTAAATTGTTCAGCACGTGAAATTACTGCTAACCGGCTCCTACACGCAGACAATTGAAAATTTTGTTGCTGGTAATTAAAAAGTAGTTAAAGATGTGTAAACCTTTTTTTTACGACTCAGTTTTTCATAAACTCCCTCGCTGTTTCGCAAAAAACTTGGGAACACCTTGTACATAGGTACAATCAAACTCCCCCATTCTTAACCAGTCGAACACGATGTCTCTCCCCTTCCATCACTTAACATTCGTCATTTCGTCACATAAATAGAATGAATGAAGTACGGACACGTACGGAACACGATGCATGCGCGACGACATTTTGTGTCACGCGCCACGCGAATACAAACACAGGGAGAACAGAAAGGATTCACGTTTTTTCGTCTGGAGTCGAGAATGCGGGGGGAGTTCGACCGCGGTCGGGCTATCCATGAACGAGTATGTCGGGCTTGATGCGTGCAATGTGTACATCTGCATATACATGCACGTATACATACATTTTATATATACATATATACACATATACATAGAAATATGTATGCGTGTAATCGTTTTAAATATATTATCGAATTTCTCTCTCTCTCTCTCTCTCTCTCTCTCTCTCTCTCTCCCTCTATCGAATACGTGGCCTGTCTCAAGAATAACGAGACTTAGAGAAACACACCCAGTTGAAATAAGAAAATATGGTAACACTGGACTTCAAACCGGGCCTGTGATTTCAACGTCGAGAATCGCCGCGTTACGTTTGAAAGCAATAGGTCTCGTTACTGTTGGGACAGGCGTCGTGACAGCGGATGTTGATTATGCCTCTATACATATCTACAAAAAAAAAAAAAAGAAAAAACTGATATAGAACTTTATCATTAATTAAACTCTCTATATGACTTAATATAACCATCTTTCTCTCTCTCTCTTTCGCTCTCTCCCCTCTCTTTCTCTCTCGTTCTCTCTCACAACAGTTCTAAAATGATTATTATTACCTACTTCAGTACGTAATAATAATTTTTCTTTCATCGATATATATTCCACGTACTATTCAATTGTATTCATGTTTCAACAGCGTGTTTTAAAAAGTATCTCTTTAACACTACATCTCTATTATTGCTTGTTGTTTAGTGCTACCGAATGTATTTTGGCATATAGCATGTTGTAAACCCTGAGCAACCACACCAATCAATTCGAAATGCATCCAACAATCCTCTCTTTCTCTCTCTCTCTCTCTTTTCTTTTTACTAGCACTAGTAGTTATGGAAGAAAATTTACATGCGCACTTCTTTGTGTGTTTATGACGAGAAATCCGACTACGACCGAAGAAATTTCCGTAGAAAGTCGATTCTAAAACGCGTTTGTATAAATGAATGAAGAATTTACGGACAATACTATCGAGATGAAGCTAAGCTGGTAAGCGCCTCGACAATGCCAGTACTCACAGGTCACCTGATCTTTTTTTATACACTTGGCGTCGCGACGCTACCGCGTCGCTTGATAGAACAAAAGTACCCTCCTGTCGGTAGATGGTAAAATTCTCAAACGCTTTCCCGACTCGCGTACAAGCGGAAGGCTCTCGATAACGTACTTTTCGAGGGGGGGGGGGGAAGTAACAAAATGTGTGTCAATGTTAACCCCTAATTTGTTTTAGATATCGATTTCCCTCCCCCCAGTCCCGCCATCTCTTACGTCTCTTCTCAGACGTGCTCGAGTAATCACTCGTGGTAGAACGTTTTTTTGGTTTCGCAACTACTTCCGATTTCGATGCCGTATTAATACCTTGTGTCACGTGATGCGTTCTGTGATTTAACGCTGTACTAACACCGGCCAGATTCAGAAGCGCGTCCGCACCTTCTGCGATCTTCCTTTGTTCGTCGAAATCAGGATTTAGCTCCTCCTCGTTCGAATGTTTGCTGTAGGAAGAAACGGAAAAAAAAACGATAAAAATTTATTGCAATCTTCGTTTGCGTTGATCGTATAAGATTAATATATCTTCACCTTCCCAATTTTATCGAGGCGATACAGCTATAAGTATGGTCCTCGCTGGAACTCCTGGTAATTACGGGCACCAATTTCTCCGATTCCGGCAATTTTCGTTTACGATCTATATTAAAACATATATTAATGAATAAGCGTGTAAATATAAATAAATAAATATATATATATATTATATAATATACTTATAATGGAATATATTGAATTTTACAGCTACACCTTGCTTTGCTTTTCTTCCCATCTCAACAAAATATAGATAGGGACTATTTTTTTCACATGTCGCCTTTGCTTTAAAAGTGACATAACTCAAAAAAATTAAGTTTTCCAGACTTTCGACGACTGATAGTAGATCAATGTTTACCTAACTCATTCATGGCAATAACTCGAAAATAATGCTTTTTTTTTTTAGTTGCGTCACTTTTGCAGCGAGGGCGTGTTCAGTACCTTTATTGTGATTCAGAATGATAGGTCCATGCTTGAAAGAAAGCATAGCGGCAGCCGCTGCGTCCACGTCGCTGTCTATCTCGGTTTCCACGCTATCGTTAATATTACTAGACGCCAGTCTTTTGGATAGGTATGGAAAGAGAACCGGATCCGGGAGACGTGTGTTTATGCATTTTCTGGCCACCTTTTCCGACGAAGACAAATTCTGGGTGGTAGGCGGGGGAAAAGGGGCGCGCGACAACGCTTGAATCAGATTCGGGCGGTACTGTGCGTCCACCATCCACAACGATCCCTTTCCTAAATTCTATAAGAAAAAAAAAAGAAAAAAATTAGTCATAACAAGCGTAGTGATGAAGGTTGATATGATACGACGTTTCCCGTAAATCTCACAATGCGCCGCGCGTTCGAAGAGGAAAAAAATTGTCACGTACACTTACCGGAGCCTTCTCCACCTTCCGAAAGCACTTGTTCAGGCTCAAATTGTGTCTGACGGAATTTTTCCATCCGGTGGGGGCGTTCCTGAAGTACGGGAAGTGCTCCAGGATCCACGCGTAAACCTCCTTCACGGGTAGCGCTTTCACGGGGCTATCTTCGATAGCCATAAATATCAGGCAGGAGAATGAATACGGTGGTTTGCTATTTCTGTGTAAATGAGGATCATACGGTATATGGGTAGGGTGCTTGTTGCGATTAGACATTGGCAAATTATTGTTGCTCAAAGAAATCTTCGTTTGATTACTTGGCGAAATATTGCAATGACTTTTCGCAGATTCCTGAAATATTTGCGTGGGCTTTTGACAATTCTTGACGGGATGCTGATAGTTTTGTCCGCTTCCGTTCAGCGTCGCGTTTGCTTTCCCGTTACTCTCTGTCGGGGGGCGCAGCGCGTCATAGAAAAGGAAAAAAAAAAGAGATAAAATTAATGTAAATTCTAAAAATACTAGACTTGCGCGATGTGCATTGTATGCGTAGATCTTAAAACGACCGTTTCTCTCACCTGGACAGAAACTATCATCCAAGCTCGATACGGAATTCGTGTTTTCGGAAAAGTCCGCCATATCGTCGATATTGTTGTTCAGCATGTTCTCGTGCTTCATGTCTTTGGAGGGGTTCGAAATGTCCAAACCCTTAAGTAAATTCTGCTGGTGCAGCCAGCTGAGCGACGTAAGCTCGTCGTCCGACTGACTGTTCTTCTCCATCGATTTCTCCCATCTCGGTATTTCGCTCTGACACTCGTTGGCCGCGTTCGAATCGGCCAGCACGCTGGCGTTCTCCTTCTCCTTGTCGTTCATCGTGTAGGCGTTCTCGCCGTAATTATAATCCTGAGACGAGTTTAGTTCTATATCAGTTTCGATACCCGATGCATCCGGCCTATCTGGTGGCATGTTGCATAGAGTCTTCTGGTCACTGCGAAAAAAAAAAAAACAAAATTATTTTTTCTCCATTTCTTCCGTAAGGTACCTATCTCTTGTACTTAAATTTTTTTTCTCTGACGTCACATTGCGACAAAACATTGCGAAAACTTTAAAAAAATTGTGCTGTTATTTCCAAAAATGATAATGTTTTGCATGTGTTACCGTCAAAATCCATAATCGTTAAAATTCGATTTCACTGGTTAAAATGAGTTTTTAATTTAGTTAAAACGAGGTCTGTAATTGCACTGTTTCACACGGATTTCCAATTTTTCACGCGTAGCGAGTTTCAACCCCCCTTCCCCTTCTATTTACGGGACAAAATGAGGTCTATAATTGGACTGTCCACATAAGTTTTCGATTTTACGATTTTTTAATCAACTATTCGGTTTTCTAGTCAACCACCTATAGTTTTAACTAAAGAATTCGGGAAAGAATTCTTTATGGATTTTGACGGTAACACATGCAAAAATAAATGTAAAGCCCGTGTTCACACAATACCGCATTGATTATACATTTCAACCAATTAAAACCACATGGATTAAAATTATCCGACTAGTCGAATTTTAATTTCCAATTCGCAATCCTCAATCTTCAATGTATACATCTTACATATTAACTTATACTTGAACCATACAATATTTATAAAATCGTATATATAAGTATAAAGAGCCCAGATTGCATTGCGAATTGAAGATTAGAATTCGACTAGTGAGATAATTTAATTTTAATCCGTTTCGCTCTAACTGATCGAATTATAGTCTCTTAATTCACAAACCTTAATCTCCGATGATGCGTATAGTGCGACACGGGCTTTAATATATCTATAAAGTTCAGATTACGCAAGAGAGATTTCCCAAAAATGGTGCCCAAAAAAGGAACGATTTCTTAGGTCTTTTCAGCTGACCTTCTCCCACGACTTTTCCCTTTTTCTTTTCACGTTGGAGGAAAAGAGGAAAAAAAAAGGACAATGCCAGGGACTTCAGGTAAAAAGAACAGACCTCTATTGAAGAATAAATACATGTGGGGCGAAATCCTTCCCTTCCTCGTGCATACAATCAGTTTACAATAGAATTTTCTCCGTTCCCCCTTATACATGTTGTTATATACAAAATATTAAAAGAAGCTTATAAATTTGTCGACTTAGGAAAATTCTATTAATATCTCCGGATGACATTAAAAATCCCTTCGGGCCGGATATCGTTTATATCCGTGAAACTACCTACTTCGCCAAGGGGAGTTTCGCGGGAGCGCCGCCCAACAATATATATCGCATTGCGACATAAAAATCGCCGCGAAAACTGTAAGAAATGGGGCCCGGTCGCTTTTCTATTTTTGGTGTGCCGCGCCGCGGAGACGCGAGGACAGATGTAGAAAGAGAGAGAGAGAGAGAACGGGAGCGTCGTGAAATTGAAATCTCCGCGCATGTGAGCCGCGCTCGCTCGTCGCTCGCTCCGCGACGCGACAGCCTTTCGAGGCCAGCGTCACGCGGGCAGACGATGTCATGCACACGGGATTGTTTATCCGTGCGACTAATAAGCGACAAAATGGCCGGCGCTATCACGCGGAACTGCTTCATCGGAACTCGAAGCGGGGACACTCGCTCCGACCGAGTGTCATCTTCGGCGACATCGCGTCGCGTCGTGTCGCGTCGCGAGCGCGTCGTCGTGGTCACTCGTGCGTCCAGACGTTCCTAATGTTCTCTCTCTCTCTCTCTCTTTCCCCCTCCCTCCCCCCTCCGTCCACCCTCTCCGTGGAATTTGCAACTAATGGCGTCCACCCGCGTTGCACACACCTCCGGCAACGTGCTCTCTCTCCGCGCTCTCGGCTCCGATAATGAATCCGACGACGAGATTTCGAGATCGAGGGTTCCGAATCCCGCGACCGAAGTCTCGGCCTCCCC